CATGTAAGCCCCTTCCAGCACTGATGGGATGGACCAGCAGAAGGGTAAAGTCTTTGAGAAGAGTGGTACAATGGAGATGAGAGGAACCAGAACCTACATTTACTGAATATCACCTACTGTGTGCCAGACTTGTGCTTGGCAATTAACATATATAACTAATTTTCAGGAAGACACTGTAAGAATTATAGGTGAGTAAACTGAGATTCAGAGACGTGACTTGCTCAAGGTCACACAGGAGGAAATGGTGGGCAGGTGATCCAGGTAAGTTTGGCCAGAGTCACTTCCCTAGGTCCCTTATGACCAACTCCCTTCCTACCTCCCTTCCTGCCCTTAGGGGCAGCATCACGTGGCAAATTGCGTCATACTTTTGTCATATGACATCAAAGACCATATCAGCCAATCCAGGAGCTCCCTGCTCAACGCTCCCCTTACCCCCTGACCCCCTGCTGCCTAGAGCCAAGCGTCCTGGTCAGGCCTCACCTGCAGCCCCCGCCCCTTCCCGGTTGCGGAGCTCTCACTCCTCGGCCCGGTCCTCCCCTCCGCCCCGCCGATTGGCAGTTGCCTGGGCCAATCAGAATGCCTCCCGGGTCGGGGGCGGGGCCTCACGCCAGAGTTGCCCTGTCAGTGCAGGTGGAGGCCCCCGGCGGGGCAAAGTAGCAGGAACCTCTTAAAGGGCGACAACCGCGGAGAGCGAGAACGCGGCCGGGCCCGGGCAGGTCTCCGCCCCGTCGGAACTAGGTGAGCCTGGACTGCCCAGGGGGCGACCCGGTGTGGTGAGGGACAGACAGATGAACCACTCCCAAGGGTCCGGGTCGTCTCGGTAGGAGAGAGACCAGAGTCTAAGGGTCGGGGGAGGGAAGCCTAGGGGCCCCGGGTTTCAAGGTTCAAACTGAGGGTCCAGACGATCCTGGGCGTCTCGAAGTTCAGGGTGCGGGGAGGGGCACCGGCGACAGAAGAGAAGGTTCGGGAGGGAACTCGGGTCCGGATCTGGACTCATGTTGCTGGCGGTACCAGCCGGCCTGTCTGAGGCGGGGGTCCCGGGTTAGGTTCCCGCGGGCGGGTCTCTGCGGAGTGGTGCAGCCCAAGTTAGCCACCCCCAGCCCCGCCCTGTCGGCCCCGCATGCTCCTGCCGGGCCCAACACAGCGCCGGCAGGAGCGAGCGTGCGGGCGGCACGCCGCGGGAGGGGGCACCCCGGCCTGGAGCCCCGCGCCCCGCTCTGGCCCTTACGTAACTGACTTTGAGTTTCCGGACTGCGGGACCCGCGAGCTGGGGCACCGGCTCTGCCCCACACACTCCCTTCCAGGTTTGGTCTAGGGGACTTCCCTCTGTCTCTGGTCTCCCAGGTCCTTCTGTCGGTCTCAGGTTCCTGCTAGCTCTCATTCCCGGATTCCATGCGTCTCTCATCTCGTGTCTGTGTAGCCAGTCTCTCCTTATCCCAGTCCTCCGTCTTTTCCCTAGAGTTTTCTTGCCTTCACGTACACTTGCTGGCAGACCCCACCTCTTTAGGGTAGAACAGGAGTTCTCCCCTCCAGCAAATTAGAGGCGGGGACTTGTCCAGAGAGACCCTAGCCCAAGCTTGCCCCAGAAGCCGGGGAGGGGAGGACGGTCCCGAGAGGGTTGGGGGAGGTTATTTCAAGGCCCACAGCTTCCCCTGGGAGGGAGTGGAGGCAGCCCCTTCTCTGCTTCAGGAGCTGTTTATCCAGAAGGGAGGAGGCTTGGGGAGAGCTTGGCTGGGGCTGGGGCTTAGGGCAGCTGCGAGTCCCTGTGAGAACTGCCTGGTGTCAGGTCAGGGTCAGATCCTCAGCTATGGAAGGGCCAGAGCACTGGCACAGAGCCTTGAGGTTTCAGCAAGCTCCCCACTTTCACCCTAGTTACAGTCCTGTGGGCTGGTCTTGGCAGGAGGCTGGAGGTGAGAAGGAGGCTAGAAGGCTTTCTCATGGGGGTAGGAGGAGGGTGGAGATAGAAGTGACCGACTGTCAGATCTAAGGAGCACCTACTGGGATCAACCCCTGCCTTCAAGGCCTTTCTGCATGTTGGAGAGACAGACACCTCAGAAATAACTTTTGCACCCTGCTGCTGTCTGGTGCGTGTAAACAAGGTGCTATAGTAGTCATGAGGTGGGAATTATTAATTCTGACTAGGAAGCGGGGAGGAGAGACTTTGCAGCGAGAGGTAGAAGGACTGGGAAGAAGGGGAACCAGAAGCTGTAGGAAGCAGAGAATAGGGAGTGAAGGGGACATCCCATACCGTATAGGCTTTGCGTGCAGCAGAACTGGGTTCGAATCTTGACCCTGCTACTTCCTTGCTGTGTGATGTTGTTGCATGAAACATCTCACCTCTCTGAGTCCTAGGTTCCTCCTCAGTCGATAATCTAGACCTTTAGCAGAATCAAATGAGGTAATAAGTGTGAAGTGACCAGAATGGGTAGCTGGTCTGGGAGCAGGCCAATGGGGGTGTTTAAAGAAGGAAATGAAGTGAGGAAGCCCCGAGGTTTCCTCTGTGTATATAGGAGGGACTGCCAGGTCCCAGCAATGTGGGATGCAGGTGGAGCGCCTGGGTGTGTGGGTGATACTCACTGAGGCAAGGAGGTCCACACCCGTCTGTCTACTGATCCGCCCATCCTTGCACTGCCTAGACCAGGCTGGCTTCCCTCCTGTAGGCCCCAGGTGCCAATAGAAGCTCCCAGGGCTCCCAAGCTGCCCCACCCCCTAGGCTAGTGGGGGTATGGCTCCTGGTAGGGCAGGGCCGGCACCCCCCTCTGCAGAGTGGACCCTAGCCAGGAGCCTGGCAGGCTGTGCGGAGCAGGAACATCCCAGCCTGGCTGGGAAGATGCTGACGCTGTACAGGCCTCTGGAAGCCCAGAGCTCTGCTGTCTGGGGTCAGGCCCAGCTTATGGGACCTGGGACTGCCTGGGTGGGAGTAAGGAAGGGAGATACAAGGAGAGACTCCTGGACAGGGAGCCTGAGCAAAGCTGTGGAACTGGAGAGGACATTTATGGATTTATTCTCTCAGCCTTTCCTGAGCACCTACTGTGTGCCATATGCAGGTTTGCTAGCCACAGAGCTGAACAGGACACCCATGAAGGGCTCACCATAGAGATCATTGTGGGCTGAGATTTGCTGGGGCTTTGCAGAATGAATCTTTATGATAGTCCCCTGGTGGGGAGAGGGGCATTCAGAATTTTTCTGGTGCCCGAGATTCTCATGTTTATTAAAGGGGGCAGGATTCTACTCCCTTATAGCCTATGGGGCCAGTCACTTTTTCTCCTTGGGTGTCAGTTTCTCTTTCTGTGAAATGAAAGGGGGAGATGAGCCAAGAGTCTCTAAGGATCTTCCAGCACCCATCACTATAATCTCCAGGACCTGGATTTGGACTTAGTCCACCCCGTACCCTCACCCCACATGAGGGAGAGGAGAGAAAATGGGCAAGGGCAAGGTCGAGTGGGATGGGTCCCCGAGTCCTGTTCTTGGCTTGTGTTCTCTAAGCATAATTGGAGCCACCTTGCTGTGCATAGAGCTCTGTGCTAAGCCTTTAATGTGCAGCATTAAGTAATGTCATCCTTCCAGCCTCATGAGGGAATAGATATTATCCCTATTTCACAGGAGTTCAGGGAGGTGGATCGGCCTGACTGAAGTCATACAGCGAGGAAGTGGGTGGGCTGGGACTCAAAACTAGGTCTGTCTGACTCCATAGTCCAGACTCACTAAAAGGGGAAACCTCTGCCTTACAGGTACTGGCCCTTACCTACGTCCACATTTTGCCCACATTGCCTACCCCTTACCTATGGAACCTGTCTGACCCCTGCTGGGTGAACTTGGAGCTCTGAGATATTCAGACTGGGGAGTTGGGGGATTGGCTGTGCCAGTGCCCACTGGACCTGGGAAGGGGAGAAAAGAATAGAGGGAGCAAACTGTGTGTCCGGGCCCCACAGAAAGTATTCCCAGAGGGCTAGCTAACCGCATTTGACTACTGCCCAGATGTAAGAACTGGGCACTGAAGGCAACTTTGGTTATGTGGCCAGCTTTGGACTTCAGTTTCTCCATCTGTAAAACAGGGATTTTGGTAGTTGACTGCAAACATTCCTGGGCCCATGGGTATGTGGCTGAAGCCGGCGATGGGGTAAAAGGTTAGAGGAAGGGGTCGGGGTAGTAGTGGCTGAGCCTGTTTGATTTTGAGCCAGGAACAGCTTGGATCGGAGACTGGCTGTTTGACAGCTATTTCAGATGAAGGAACTGAGGTTGGAGAGGTTCAAAGGCTTGTCTGGGGCTGTGCAGCCAGTGTTGCAGAAACTGAAGGGAAAAAAGCCAGGGAAGACTTGGAGAACAAAATCCTGGCAGATGCCAGTTGGCATCCTGACTCGACCACTTAACTAGACTTGGAGATATGAGAGTGACATCCCCAGGAACACACAGAGAAAAGTCCCTTTACCTCACTGTCCTCATCTGTAAAATGGGAATAGTAATATTTCACCTTTGTCCACTTCCTGGGTTATTGTGAAGGTCACAGGAGATGACGCTTTTGTAGAATCAGGCGAGAATGTGGGTGCTAGTCATTTTTTGGTCCAAAGCTGCAGTTCTGGGTGTGTTTTTGGGGAGAGGGTACTGCCGACAGCCCCTCTGGTGAGATGCTTCACCCTGGGGATGTGTGGAGAACAGCCCTAAGATTGCCACCACCATTTATTGAATATTTACCGTGTGCCAATCACTATTTCAGAGCTGCACCTCTCACTGTCTCCTTTAATCCCTACCTTGTCAGGTAGGTGGTGGCCTGACCCACACTAGGCCCCTCCCAAACCCATGCCCACAGCCCCCTGTAGCTAACACTAATGGACAGTTTATTGTGTGCCAAGCATTGTGCAAAATGTTTTATATATATTAGCTCATTTAATCCCCGCAACAACCCTGGAGGTAGGTGCTAATGCTATCCCCATTTTACAGATGAATAACAGGCACAGAGAAGTTAAGAAACTGGCCAAATGTCATCTAGCTAGTGAGTGGTAGGGCCAGGGTTTGAACCCAAGTTCTTAAGTTTCCTCCTTGAAGCACTCATCGCAGTTCTAATTCAGTTAATATTTATATGATTGCCTCCTCGCTGCACTGTAGGCTCCATGCTGGCAGGGACCATGCCTGTCTTCTTCATGCTATATCCCCAACACCTGGCTCACAGTAGGTGCTCAGTTAATATTTGTCCACAAGATCATGTTGCCTCCAGTGGGCTGGGCCCTGGGTGGCCTGATGAGCCCAGGGTGGATTATCAGATTATCAGATTGCTGACTGAGAGGGTATCTGCCCCAGCAGAGCTCCAGAGGCAGAGGGAGGGCAGGATTTTCCCCCTGGGCCCAGGCCCAGGCCCAGGCTGACGAGGGGCCCCAAAGAGCTTGTTTGTTGGTTGTGCTTGTGTCTCACTGCTGTCCTTTGCTTCCATGTGCCACTGTGGCGATGGCTCCACGGCTTCTCCCTGACTGGCTGCGTGACCACAATGGCTGCTTCTGGGTGAGTACTGGTTTGGCTAAATGACTGCATGTGGGCTCCATTCTAATGCATGTCCTGTGGCTCTGGCGCCACTAGGAGGTGTATAGGAAGGCCCAGTGGTGGGGGTGGAAGAACTGAGGGAGGGCACTCTGCGAAGTGAGGATCCTACCACAATCAGCTGACTCTCTGCGGACACTTAACACGCTGATGTGGTAATTTTTGGGTCACATGATATAATGCAAAGGTCTTTGGGGCTGGACTGGTCTGGAATAGAATCCTTATTCTGCCACTTGTAGCTGGGTGGATCTTTGCATCTCAGTTTCTCATCTGTGAAAAGGAACATTAACACCTACCCGGCACAGGTATGTTTGTTCTTTAATTCATGTAAGCCCCACGAGGGCAGGAATTTTTGTTCATCTGTTCACTGCTGTATCAGCATCTAGGATATAGTGGCATGTAGTAGGTGCTCAATAAATATTTCTGACTGAAGGAATGTATTTATTCATTCAGTGTCACTATGCTCCATCAGTGGGCTTTATATTAGATTAAATGGCTAATGGATAAAGTGCCCAGCATCATCGGGGCTCATGAACGTGAGTTCCCTCTTTCTCCCTAGACTGTGAGTTCCTTGGTGGGGTTGGGGTGGGGAGCAGGACTCCGTTAAATGAACTCTGGGTCCTCTGAACTGAATGTAGGGCCAAGTACCAAGCCCATTAATCAACAGAGAGAGCAGCCTAGGCATTTAGGCTCAGGGCCTTTGCTTAGAACTGGGGAGGGAGTGGCAGAGCCTCTAGGTTTCATAAGGAGAAAGGGGTGGCTGGAAAGGTGGGGCAGAAGGTAGGAGGGGCAAGGAGGGACTCTGCCTCTTAGTACTGCCACTTTTCTAGCTATGCGACCTTAGACAAGTCATTCATGTCACTGAGTCTTGGAGACTTCATCTGCAACATGCATATAATGACACTTCCCCCACCCGGTCATGGGAAGGAACCAAGGAGAAATGCCCAACCCAGGGCCCCACGCTATAATTGTTGGTTTCCTCCCAGCCCTGGGCTCATTCTGGGAGGGGACTAAGTAAAGTGTTCCTCTTTTTGGATCCTTTCATCTACTTTTAACTTCCCACCCGGCTGGGACTAGAATTCGGGACTCAGGAGCCTCAGACCCCTCAGCAGGCTGGCCAGGGCCTGGGATAAGGCTGGACTTTGCCCAGTGGAGAAGTAGCTCAGTGGAAGTCCCAGCTTGGCCATTGTTTTGCTGTGTGACTTGATTCAGTAACTCACCTTCTCTGGGCCTAGGTTACCTCACTTTATAAAATAGGGTAAATAAAGGATACGTCCCGTGAATAATTATTTAATGAGCAAATGGGTGGCTTAGGCATTATCATTGCTATTACTATTTGGGTCTGGCTAGGTGGTTCCAGAGTGGGCCCTGGAGAATTACATCCCATCTTGGTCTAGGGATCCTGAGAATCTCTAGTCATCATATGTATTATTGCCATGTATTGGACATTTCTTATATGCTGGGCTAGTCGTTTATGCTATTTTAGATACATGATCTCATCTAGTCCCCCCAGTGACCCAGGCATTATGGCCCCCACTTTATGGATGAGAGAACTAGTGCTGAATCAAGTGAGTGACCCGGAGTCACATAGTTATTTAGGGGTGGAACTGGTCATTATCAGACCCAAGTCGGCCTAAAAACTCTCTTACCTCCCCCAAGGAAGCAGAGACTGTATTTGAGTCATCTCTGTCTACACCCTCCCTACCCTGGTCTGCTGCTCTAAGAGCTTTGAAGAGAAGAAACAACAGAAAGCAGGAGAAAGCCAGGCACCCTAGTGGTTGAGTGAGGCAGACCTGGTTTTGAATCCCATATCTGTTGCTTACTTGTTTTCTGACCTTGGGCAAAATGCTTAACCTCTTGGCGGCTTAGTTTCCTTATCTGTAAAATGGGGGTAATAAAAGAACCTACCTACCTCCTAGATGCTGGAGTGTTCATGTGAGGATTAAATAATGCATATGAGGCACGTGCATATGAGTACTCTGATAGTAATTATTATTGTTATTATTATAGTTATAATCATGAGTATTATTTTGGGATTACAAAGATATCCCTCTTGGGACAGTTGGAGACCAGGCCTGGAAGGGGCCTGCTGGAGATAGGCGGGTAGCAACCTAGTCTGACAGGTTCTGAAAGGCACCTACCTGTAAAGTGAAGGGAGGGAGGGGTCCTCCTGGAAAGTTATCCAGCTGTCTGCTTTCACGAACACCCACTCTGTGACAGGGCAGGGGACACAGAGATGAATCTGTGCTGTCTCTACCCCCTGCCTTCCTGGGAGCTCAGAGTCTAGTTTTGGGAAGAAGGACGCAGAAACCACCAACTCTACTTTTGATCAATGCACTGAAGTGTGAACTGTGAAACATCTCAGGCAAAGACCAGGAGAAAGGGCATTCCTAGCTGAAGGAACTGCTTTGCCAAGGTAGAGAGCCACTGCCGGCGCTTAGCGGAATGCGGCTGGAGAGACAGGCTTGGGCGAGTTGAGGGACTTGACCCAGAGGCAGTGGGGAGCAATCGGATATTAAGCAGCAGAATGACATGGTCAGGCTTGTATTTTGGGAGGATCACTTGGTGTGGAGGACAAATGGGAGGGGAGGCGCAGAGGCAAGTCTCCAGGGGAGAGGTGCTGAGATATGGGGCAGAGATTGAGTCATGGGATGGAGAGCAGAGGGGGGGAAGTGAGGTCTGTTTAGGAGGCAGAGCCAGCAGGATGTGATAGTGGACTGCAGTGGGCAGGCTGGAGAGGAAAGAGGTGAGAGTGAGAGCTTGGGGTCTGGCGGGTGACGGGGCCTGCTGGGGTCTCTGGCCCAGGGACATATCTGGGAGGAGGAACCAGAGTTAGGTTGGGGGGCTAAAAACCACTTGTCTGCTCCTTGCCACCTTCCGCCTCAGTTCCCCCAGGTAGTAGCTATGAGCTGGACACGGGGGCAAGACCTCTGGCCATCAGGGCCCATGCCCCCAGCTCCTGCCTTGGGAGTCCCTTTTGGTGATGCTGGCAGGGAGGACAGCTTTTTGGGGTGGGGGTCAGGCAGGGGCTGTGTGGTACAGAGAAGCCCTGAGTCCTAGCCCTACCCATGTCACTGAAAGTCTGTGTGACCTCTGACGTCACTCCCTCTGTCTTGCCTTCCTTTTCCTTGCCTTGAAAATGAGAATAAGAAAACCTGTTGTGCCTGCCTCAAAGATTCAGGGATAAAATGCAATTAGAGATAATCATTTATTGAGCACTGACTGTGTACTGTGCCCTGGGAGACACAAAGATGACTCAGACAGGGTTCCTACTTCTCAGGAGGCGTGAAGCTCTTTAGAGTGAGCCCAGCTGAGCGGGTGGTTTCTGGGCATTGCTAGGCTGGGATTTCAAGGATGAATAAGAGCTCTCTAGGTGGGCGGTGGGGGGAACAAATTTTTAGGCATAGGGAACAGCATATGCGAAGGCTTGAACCCACATAATGTGCTCAGAGTTAGGTATGGATGGAGCATAAAGGGAGAGGTAGATGGTGATGGGAGATGAGGCTGGACACGGAAGCAGGGCCAGATCATGCAGGGCTTTGAAAATGGTCACTGTGGAGATGGTCACTTGCTGCCCTCTCCTTCCTGCACCCTCATAGCTGCCTGTTTCACGGAGACTGCCAGGGCCCTTTCCGCCTGCTCCACCCCCATCTCTCCTCCTTGTCCCCTTTTCACCCCTACCCTAGTCAAACCCAGTGGCTGCCTCTCTCAGGAGTCAACAACCTGGGTTCCCTGCCAGCTCTGCTACTTATAAGTGGTGTGGCCTGCAGTCACTTACCTTTTCTGTACCTCAGTTTCCACCTCAGTGAAATGGGACAACCCGCCTTCCTTACAGGGAAGTTTACAAATGGAGGTTTCAATGAGATAATCCCCACAAATGGCCTTGCACATGTAATGGGCACCCATAAAAAGGATTATGTCATCATGATTTGGACTGTTCAGGTCTCCTGGTCCCACCCACTGCTTCCCCAGCCTCTCTTGGCAGCCTGATCTGGCCAACAAAGGAAGGAAAGGATTAAGAAACAAGCCCAAATCTCCAGAGGGGGCCTGGCCCACTGCCAGCTCAGTCCCTCCTGCCCCTTGCTCCCCTTGGCCTCAGGCCCAAGGGTACTCAGTCTTGAGGCCTGGGCTCCCCCCAACTCCCCACCCTAGGGGCCTCTCCCTGGCTAGAGGCCAAAGCCAGCAGCAGCCCTGAAAAAGGGATAAATATTTTGAAAATATGTAGCTTTATTTTTATTCCCTGAAAGCTAGTAATCAGGCCCTTTTTTTCCTGGGTAATTGGGAGAAGAGTAAGTGTGATGTCCTGTATCTGTGGGAGGCCCCATAATCTGGGCAGAGCTGGACCCCTGAGCCTTCTGGATTCTACAACCGAGGTTGGTGACCTTAGTCCCTTTTGCGGGAACCTCAAATCAGAGCCGGTGGCTGATGATACAAGGTCACGCAGCAGGAACCTAGACCCTTTTCTGCATGTCCTATGAATGGGTATGATGTAGTGGCTGGCCTTGGCTGTCACTTGACTTCTTTGAGCCTCAGTTTCCTCTGCTGTAGAATGGGGCTGATTTTACTGTGAGGATTGGTGAGAATATAGATAAAGCACTCAGTCCAGTGCTCAACACTTTGCATCCTCAAGGGTAGGTAGCTCCTGTTATTGCTATTGTAACTGCTGCCTCCAAGAACCTACCTCTTCCCCGTCTAGGCACTTGGAGTTTTGAGACAGTTTCTTGTTGAACAAATGACAGCCAATAAACTTTTAAAGCGAGAGGCTCAGCATCTGCCCCCCCCCCCCTGCCCTCCCTTTCCCTCTCCTGGTTGGCTGGAACATTCTAGCCTCATCCTTGGCCTGATTTTGGCCTCTGCCCCCAGATGATCCCTGCCCTCCTGGCGCCAAGCCCGCACGGTCTCCATTCCAGGAGCCACACAAGGACAGTTTCGCATCTGCAGCCTCCTCTGATCAGATGCCACTG